ACCATGCCCAAAAAAGCCCTGTCTGAATAGGGTTGTCCCGCCACGTACATACAAATACAGAAAATGGGGAATATTATAGAAAGGACGCCTATCAAACGCCTATGTGTTTGTCCTCGATGTTTCGGAATAAAGTTCAATCTGTACTATGATTACTACCAATACAGATTAAAGTTCAGGAAATCTAAACGATTAAAATTCTTCTTTATCACAACAGAAATAAACGTTGCACTCCACAAAAATGCTACGACATGACTTCTAGCTTTCAACACATTTCAAAACGGCCTTTAATACTTTACAACGGGTCAGGCAACAGCTGTTTCTACTTAACGACCCACCTTAGTATCTACACGAAGGAAAGCCCCCCCCCCACACACACACCGCTACTTAAAAACAATTTTTGCGGCCAGTCTCAAATGACTTTTAAATGTAGGGGTGATATGGTAAAAATACGTGAATAATCACGGGCACGGACGTATAAAATTACATGCTGATAAAACAAAGGGAACCATGTGTTTTAGCTGCGAACGCGAAAAACCGACTGACCACAATACTCCTGCAAGAGGGATACCTCATTCACGGAGTAAATCACAAGCGTAAAACGAAATTTTTTTTGTTAAAATTTGCCATTTTTTAAACATATCTTTTCTAGGGAGCAACAAATAATTTCAATTTACTCTCGTATTTATTGCAGAGGTAAATGTCGCAATCAACAAAAAGGTTTTACAGTTTGCTCATATCAAAAAATAGGTGCAATACCTGATGAAATCCCACCACAAAATCTCCTTCACAATATATATTAACACTTCCAGGAAAATTAAAATCACTTTTCTGAGTTCAAAATTCTCCGATACATTTTTAAAGAGTGTAATCCGTTTCAATTTTCAGAATCGACAGTTGAAACGCCTGCGAACAACACCGGAAAGCGATGGCGCGGTGACCGCAGATGTGGTCCGGAGTTCCCTGCCCCGAATGCCGCTCCCGGGGAGTGTAACCCAGACTCCTGCTTCCCGTGCTGCTCTAAGCATGGATACTGCGGGAAGACCACTGATCACTGTAACTGTGCAGAATGTGTGAACTACGGACAGATTTACGGTCATTGTTTTTATAGATTTGTTACCACCTCTGTCATCACCACTGTATCTTTTTTAAACCTTTATTTGGTCGTGTATCCTAGAACAAACTATATACTAGGTAATTACCCCGGTTACGAGCATAATTTCTTTTTTCCTCGGATAGCATTTTACATTTAGCAGGCATAAATATACTGTTGTAACTATTAGCGACATGGCGACAATGTCCCTTTCAGTGCTTCACGTTGTCAAATATATTAAATGCACTAGTTCGGATTACCATGTAGGATTTTTCAATTAGTATAGGGTTACTCTAATTTTGAAGCAGAGAATTAGAATAATCATACTAAAGTAGCTTTCATAGATAACCCCACACATTCCTAAGTTTTGTTTATGTTTCCTTGTTTACTACTTTTCATTACTACTTTTCATTATTGTAGATAGTATTGTATCGTATTGTATTTTATTGTTTTGTTACCTAAGTTATTTCTTATTTATCCGATTTTTTTAAATTGTTAATCACGTTATGAAGGGAGGCCTCCTCATAATCATTTTTATACTTCCGGCCTCCCTGCACTGTTACATTTCATTTATATTTGCTTGTATTTGTATTGTTACATTTTGTTTTAAAGTGCGAAATAAACTGAAACTGAATATTCATCTGTAGGAGTTCAGCAGCAGACTCCAGCGTGGCGTGACCTGTCGGTCAGCTGGAGAGCCGATCTCCGCTGTGGGGACGGGTTTTCGGCACCTGGTGCTGAAGTTGCCGAGTGTAATCCTTACTCCTGTAACCCCTGCTGTTCTGGGAGGGGATGGTGCGGAAGCACTCGAGATCACTGTCGATGTCTGGACTGTGTGGACTACAGGTCTCAAGCGGGTAACAGAAATCATTTTATAAGACTTGTATAGTAAACAAGTCCCCTTACCCTGGATTACACTGCACGAAAAGTTGGATTTACCAAAGGCTGTAAATAAAGGTGATCTTTACTATGTACACAGTATCTGGCTTTACAATGGTAGTAAATAAAGGTCAATTGCAGCAATTTCCTTTACAACCCTTGTTAAGTCCCGTGTTACCTTACTTGACATTTATTTATTGCTATTGTAAAGTTCAGAATTGTTTATTGAAAAAAACAAATTTTACTGGTATTGGCAAATCTAAGTTTTCGTGTAGTGTTACATAAACGAACGGAGCCTATTTGAACCCATTATGGCCTCCCGGCTTCAGGGGCTCGATCAGCTGATTGGGAAAAATTCCATGGCAAAGTGACAAATTAAAAAAGTATATAGGAAATTTCGTCACATATGAGGGGACCTATTATCTACATTATCAAACCCATGGGCTTTAGAAATATTGATGTTACTAATTTCCATATTTTTCAGTGTGCCATTTTCCATTTACGTACGAAGGAAAAAGCTACAATAACTGTACCAACGTCGACCATGACCGTCCCTGGTGTTCTTTAACTGAGGTCTACGTGGGCAAATTTAAAAACTGTGACCTGGGTAAGTTCGTGATCACGAAGAAATGTTAGGGGAAAATGCCGTGGCAAAGTGACAAAGTAAAAACATAGGCAATTCTGTAATCCGCGCGTTCTGTAGCGTCCTGTGAGTCGATTTACAACCCCTCGCGCCGTGGACGATTACAAAAATTTTAGTGGTAGATTTTCTTTATACAAGGTTTGTGTCTTCCTGCCAGCATCAGTAATTTCAGCTGGAAAGTTATTTCAATGTTACTATCCTCCAATTTCCAATTTATTCATTAATTTTGGAGTAATTTTTTAGAGAGAGAGAGAGAGAGAGAGAGAGAAAGACAAATTAGGGCAAAGTGCTGGCGTTTTTTAGGTACAGGAACGGGTCGATAAACAGTTGCCATCCTCATGCCTTTTACTCATGCCTTATTTTTCAGACTGCCATTTTCCATTTACGTACGAAGGAAAAACCTACAATAACTGTACCAACGTCGACCATGACCGTCCCTGGTGTTCTTTAACTGAGGTCTACATTGGCAAATTTAAAAACTGTGACCTGAGTAAGTTAATAATCACGAAGAAATGTTCTTTCTACAAATGATATTCTGGTTGTGTGGGGCGTGGCCAGAACAACATGTGCATGCTTCTTCTCTCCATGTAACTTCTTTCCACCCGCAACTTTATTTACCTGTTTTGTCCTACATGGTCTCATGTACTCACGATCGAATCTTTAATGCGTGTTCAGTTTGTTTTTTTGCCGTTTGAATATTTTCTGTTTACTCTTTTGACTAACAAAAACCTTTTGATCCATTGTAGTGCGTTTTAAAAAGTGACGAAAGGGTCTCAGTTTGAGGCGATATTGCTTATAAGTTGCCACGAAATATCTTCAGATATTAACATGGATGAGGAGTGTAAGAAACTTGATCTGGAGTGAAAATTAATTTTAGCTTCGAGCCTTACTTCCGAGTATTCTTCGCGCCAAGTGTAATCCGCCCGTTTGACCCGTATTTAGTATAAACGTGTAAACTAAATCTGGTCATTTGTAACACAGCAACTACACCTAGAGCGACGATGGCGACCAGTGTTGCATCACTTACAACGACTACATCCGGAGTGACAAACACAGTAGAACTATCAACAACAACGACACCTGGAGTGACGGCCACGGCTGCACCAGACACAACAGCTACACCTGGAGTGACGGCCACGGCTGCACCAGACACAAAAGCTACACCTGGAGTGACGACCACGGCTGCACCAGGCACAACATCTACACCTGGAGTGGCAACCATGGCTGAACCAGACACAACAGCTACACCTGGAGTGACGACCACGGCTGCACCAGGCACAACAGCTACACCTGGAGTGACGACCACGGCTGCACCAGACACAACAGCTACACCTGGAGTGACGACCACGGCTGCACCAGACACAACAGCTACACCTGGAGTGACGACTAGCGGCTGCACCAGACACAACAGCTACACCTGGAGTGACGACCACGGCTGCACCAGGCACAACAGCTACACCTGGAATGACGACAGCGGCTGCATCAGGCGCAACATCTACACCTGGAGTGGTGACCACGGCTGAACCAGACACAACAGCTACACCTGGAGTGGCGACCACGGCTGAAACAGACACAACAGCTACACCTGGAGTGACGACAGCGGCTGCACCAGGCGCAACATCTACACCTGGAGTGACGACCACGACTGCGTCAGGCACACCAGCTACACCTGGAGTGACGACGACGGCTGCACTATCCACAACAACTTTTCGTGGAGTGGCGATTTTATCATCCAAAACAACTACACCTGGGGTGACGACCAGTGTTGCACCAGGCACAACAGCTACACTTGCACCGGTAGCTACACCTGAAGTTACAACCACGACCGCACTAGGTATTTCACAAATCTATCATAAATATCTTTAACCCTATCAAGACTGGGGGGGGGGGTGCTAAAATTGCCCGCGCCAAATTTGATGTCCAATAGCGTGTTAACAGCATGCGCTAGGGCCACCAAACTTTCCAAACATATTGCTTCAAAACACAATGAAATTTTCAGGCTTTTATATTGATTTGTAAAAAAATGTGTCCGAAAAAAAACGGGGCCAGGAAAAAAAGGAGCTTGTTACTAAACCCAGGCTAGCCTATTATATTATTTCCTCATCATTCCTGAAGCACATTTTCTTCTATTACGACAGGCTACTGTAAACATGAGGTTGTTGAGACTGAAGCCGGACAGGTGACTTTTCCACATACAGACGGTGGAAGTTTCTCCTACTCTGCTGAACGGTGTAACTCTGCAGAAAATGGTCAGTACTGGGCTATTTTTCAAATTTGTGATTCACCTGTACGTGTATTAAAAGGGTGGGTTCGGTACATGTATAATCCGGTAAAGAGATTAAAATTGGTACTTTTGCAAAGGAACGCATATTGCTTATTTCATAATCTGAGAAATATTTTCAGACCTTTACACCCCCTAATTTAGTACTGTTAGGAGCTAAGAACAAGAGTCCCACACCCTCAGATCTTCACCAGATTATTATTAACTTTTACGACTGACAAATTGTACATATATGTGAGTGATTATGCAAATGAGGTCATTTGCATGGATTATATCAATTGATTATGTACGACCTAAGGACGTTATATCATTGGTTCTACCCCACAGACAAGCCCCTGGCCACTCGTTTCTGTCGGGTTGCGACAGGTAGAACTGCAGTGTGGGACCAGCCGGTCGTCCTCATGTGTGAAACTGACTTATACAATCTGTCTCGGGTAGGTGTTACCCCCACAAACCATGATCATATATCACTGCACTAAACGTTAAATTTACAAATGGTGAACAATGCAATTTCACCGAGTTGGGTAATTAGTAATTAGTAGACAATACTCGACTTCAAGATGGTAGTATGTGCAATTACTGGACTTGGACTTTATTTACTACCATTATAACGTCTGGTACAAAATAAACATTGCCTAGCTTTACTGGTATTTACTACCGTTGGATGATCTAACTTTACGTGCAGTGGTAAACACACTACTTGATATTGTATTTGATTGCATAGTATAAGAGCTATAATGTTCTTAAACCAGAATTCGGAGATTTAATACCTCCATGAAATATATGAGTTTTGTAAATGTTTTTTACACACTCAGTATACTACAGAACAGAACAAATTAGACAGGCTTTTGTTTTCAAACACACAGCTAATACAGTAGCACCTTTGGCCTGGCCTGAAATATGTAGGTCAGCCTATTCCAGAGGAAGAACCTCATTAATCAAACCGGCGCGCTGACCGCCATGGTATTTTGTTGCACAACCGGCACATCTATTTTCCCTGCCTTACAAAACCGGAAGTTCTGCTGCGGTACCAAGATCAGCCACCAGGAGGCCCAGAGTTGACCTTGACCTTTGGCTTTCTAAGACCTACCAGCATACCAAATATCATCACAATTCATAAAGTTATGCTGACTACAAATGTGTGGAAACACACAGTCACACACACAAATATACACACACACACACACACACAGACGAGCCAAAAACAATACCTCCATTTTTCATGAAGTTAAAAAGTACGCGTTGATGTGACAACTCAGAGAAGTACAACATATGTAACGGTTCCTAGTGAATTCTTTCATCAGTGACAACTTTTGGAAGGATAATGGTACTAACCTCCAAATTTTCGATGGCTATCAGTCCATCTTGTTCATGGAGTGGCCTAGTCTCGCGAGAGTGCGAGACTAGGCCCGAGAGCGCGAGACTAGGCCCGAGACTTGCATCGGTCTGTCGGGTCCCACCTTCCGCTGCCTCCCTCCGAAGTAAGGGTAAGTAAGTCTTGGGGAGTTCCCAACCTTCTGTCCGGTTTAGCTTGGCACCCTCCAACTGTATGTGCACCGCTTCCTTAATCTTCCTGTGTGGGTTACGAGACTCTTGGTCTATGATTTCAATGATGTCAGAGATGGGCCTGGTAGTGATGTTGTCACCAGCCTGGAGTTGGTGTTGACTTAACGCTGATTTGAAGTCTTTCTGATGTAATGACTTTTGGTGTTCAGAAGTCCTTTCCCCCAGTGACCGCTCAGTTTCACCCACGTAAACCTCCCCGCACTCTTCACACTTGATCTTGTAGATCACACCGCACTTCTCACTCGGTGCTAGAGGGTCATTGGGTCTGACAAGGGCATTACGTAAGGTGAAGCCCGGTTTGGAGTACAGGCTCACATTATGTTTGGCATATACGCGTTTCAACCTCTCTGTAACTCCATGTATGTAGGGTAGTACCAAGTAACTCGCTGGGAGTTGTTCTTGTTTTCCGGAAGTTGGTGAGCTCCTCCTACTGGTGGTTAGCACTACGTACTTTCAGTACAACGATGTTATCTACGAACAGACCTTTGGCATGGCGATGGGTTCTCCATTGTCCCCTGTGTTAGCGAACCTGTTCATAGAGGAGTTCGAGAGGAAAGCTCTACACACTGCTCCTCACCGCCCCAAGTTCTGGGGGAGGTATGTAGACGACACGGGCGTTGTGAACAGACAGGAACATGAACAGGAACTCTTTGATCACATTAACACACAACATGACAGTATCAAGTTCACCATTGAGAGGGAACAAAACAACCGTCTCCCCATGCTTGATGTCATGATGGTCAGGAATCCAGACAACACCATCACTACAGATGTGTTCCGAAAGGAAACCCACACCGACCACTATTTGCAGTGGTCCTCCAACCACCCGGTGCAACAGAAGCTTGGGATAGTTAGGACTCTCATGCACAGAGCCAACACCCTTATAGAAGATCACGCTTTGAGAGAGGCCGAAAAGGAAAAAGTCAGAGTAGCCCTCAGACACTGTGGATACCCAGAATGGGCCCTGAGGGAGGTGGATAACAACTCCAGAAAGGGCAAGAGTAACAAGGAACAGAGTAACACCGCAAAACAAGAAAAACTCCCAGCGAGTTACTTGGTACTACCCTACATACATGGAGTTACAGAGAGGTTGAAACGCGTATATGCCAAACATAATGTGAGCCTGTACTCCAAACCGGGCTTCACCTTACGTAATGCCCTTGTCAGACCCAATGACCCTCTAGCACCGAGTGAGAAGTGCGGTGTGATCTACAAGATCAAGTTTGAAGAGTGCGGGGAGGTTTACGTGGGTGAAACTGAGCGGTCACTGGGGGAAAGGACTTCTGAACACCAAAAGTCATTACATCAGAAAGACTTCAAATCAGCGTTAAGTCAACACCAACTCCAGGCTGGTCACAACATCACTACCAGGCCCATCTCTGACATTATTGAAATCATAGACCAAGAGTCTCGTAACCCACACAGGAAGATTAAGGAAGCGGTGCACATACAGTTGGAGGGTGCCAAGCTAAACCGGACAGAAGGTTGGGAACTCCCCAAGACTTACTTACCCTTACTTCGGAGGGAGGCAGCGGGGGGTGGGACCCGACAGACCGATGCAAGTCTCGGGCCTTGTCTCGCGCTCTCGCGAGATTAGGCCACTCCGTGAACAAGATGGACTGATAGCCATCGAAAATTTGGAGGTTAGTACCATTATCCTTCCAAAAGTTGTCACTGATGAAAGAATTCAATAGGAACTGTATCTCTACGTGACAAATGAATCTCTTCAACAACATATGTAACATATTTATTTACTTTTAAATGTGTTTTATGGCTAAATGAGAACGGTAAAAGTTATGGAACGATATTGGATAAGGGTAAATTGTCGCACTTACCTTTGGTACTGCAGCGGTTTTTATATCTCTTCCAGATCGTTGTTAACAATGAGATAGCTCTCTCAGTGGCAACGGAACTGCAGGTCATCACAAGTCAGGCCGAAACTCTCTCGTCTAGTGATGTCACAGAAATCATCAAGATCGTACAGAAAATAGTCATCGGCAATGCCACAGAGCAGGTGATATTTCACTCTTCATTTTAAATATTCTTCTTTAAGTCATTCCTTAATTATCATCAACATGCAATGGGTTCTACATTTGCGGCTGTAGAAACAACTTTCAGTTGCAATTTCTATCAGCCTTTTTATAATTTTTCCACGCTAAACATAAATTACTGGGCTTGGACTTCATGTACTTTCATTGAAGATACGCTTTCCTTTGTTCTTTGGATCTCTGAACAGTTTTAGTATTTTTTGTTGCTTTTGACGAAGCATTGTTTGTCATGCTGGTGTAAATAGTGTTTTTCTTTGGAGCCTTTTTTAGAGGCATCGATACGCTGGCACCATCCGGTAGTGCATTCCTTGTTTGTTTGCTTCGCATAGCCGGTAAAGCGCGTAGGTGTTACACATTAGTTTTGTTCATGTAAATAAAAGCTGCGTAATACCGGACTTTAAGGTTTGAACCACTCACACCGGTCAGGTCCCCTACTCTTTACGATAAGTGCGGTGCGTTCTTTAACGTGCATAGGGTGTGGCTCTTCCCAAACACGGGACCTCCATTTAGCGTCCTATCAGAGGGACATCCCTAACCGAAGTTTCCACCAGAGTTAAATGAGGAAAGTCGTGTAAAGTGCCTTTTCCTAAGGACACACGATCGGTGACATGGGTAGGATTGGGCTGGGACCTTTTGGTCCTGAGCCGAACGCTACCGTTACACCATACGACCCTACCATTCCTAAATGTGATCGCGCTCCCTTTGCAGACTCCGTCGAGCTTTTCTTCAGGATACCATCAGATTGCATTATAGACATGAACAATCTGATATCTACCAGGATTTAATTGTTTAAAGTTAAAAGTTTTGGTCCAACACAAAATATTCACATAGGGCCATCGACCAGTCACTCTGGTCTTCCTCAGTAGACTGACCCAGTGAAGCTTGCCACGTGGCTTCTTTGAAGTGTGAGTGACTGTGACGTCAACACTGGGTCAAATGTATCTGGTAGACGATGTCGGCCACCGTCGCGGTTCAATGAATGGTGATGGGCCGGCCCTGATGTATATGGCTTCGGAGGTTCCTTCACCCCTCTCAAGAAATAGTCTTGTTCAGTGTCTAAAATCCTTACAGTGTCAAGTGAAACAAAGTGTCCGGGTGACTCTATGTAGATGTGTTGTGACACCTCTGAACTGTTATATGTTATCTAATTGGATCTAATTGTTAAGCGAGTTCTGACTGTATATGCATAAACAATTAAAACAATAAAAGTAGTAATCAGAACCTGATCACGTAGCTGTAAAAAATGTTGCTTTCTGTAACGAAGGCTTTTTTTATCCTGGCATAGATTGGAGACTCCATTCTGACAACTGTAGAAAACCTGTTAAAAGTCAACGCCACGGTTCTTCAGCAGAGTCAACAGGAAATGAGAGGTCCAACCAGGTAACGCGTGTTACATTAACCCTTTTCAGCCGGGGGGGTGGGGGGTGGGGGGGTGGTCCGCGCCAACTTTCATGTCAGATAAACGGCTGCGCTAGAAACGTCAAATTTTGTGGCAACGGGGTTATGCTTAATTCAACTTCCTTTTTAACATTAATAACATCTTATATAAGTCTATATAATTTCTATCATTGAATATTCATATTTTATGCTTATTTGATGACGTCATCGGTCAAAATACATGATGGTGGACCATATAATTAGCGTTTGTGTAGCCATGTTTTTTCACTAATTTTTCGTCTCAATTCCGTGTTTTTTTTCACATAAAACGTCAATATGAGCATCTTAAGTCCATTTCCGTTGCGTTTTGAGGCAATATCTTTTTACGGAAAAAACAATTGTTAACCGTTTTACCCCCCCCCCCCAAAATAATATAAATGACATCATGATGACGTCATATGACGTCATGATTACACAAAAATTGTTATCATGAATTAATTTCACTACTACACCATTCTGAAAATTTGGTGGCCCTACGATAAGTGGCTGTTGAGTTACAGGGGGCCTCAAAAGCCCCCCCCCATCTGAGCATGTCCAAAAAGCCCGGTCTGAATAGGGTTGAACCACATGTACTTTACCTATTTCACGTCTGTATATTTGCACTTTGGTGTAACATATCAGCATCTGTGACATCTGCATGTAACTGCCCTGTGCCGTATCAGCTGCTTTCGTATTTGTGTTGCGCAGCGAGCAGAAGCAGTAATATATCAGCTTTTATCTTGAAAGTTCATCTGTGTTGGTAGAAATCATTATGGATCAAGTTTAAACTGTAATATCCAATTACAACTTAAACTTGCTTTATGATATCAGCTTTTGTTTTTAAATTGTATAACAGGTTTGGCATATGAAGTACTATCCAAATACTAGTATAAATTGCAATCTTAAGATGTTAGACAGCATCTTACCTCACTTTTTTTAGAGCCGTCCAGGCATTGGAGACATTTGCTGACACGGTTATACTGACAACAGATACATACACCGCCGTGCGACCAGGGGTAGCACTGCAGGCAACTGACATCAGTCCAGAAGAGTTGGACAAGGGACACGGTAAGCAAAAACTGGACAGGATCCGATCATTGTTACGTCAATACACAAAATGTCTGTATTCGGAAATACAATGCCTGTATGTATGAATGCAGTAAAAGTATTTGTGTCATTCCCTCGATGTAACCTTTTTAAAGAATTTTTAAAGATATATCATATGTCATAAACATCTAAAACAGCCGAAATCAATCCTAACACATGATCCTGCCAATATACCCGAGACAAGTTGTGGGAGGGGTTTGGTCGTCATGTGGGAGACTAAACCTAACATAACCCTAATTGTAAGTCTAACCCTAGCCCTAAACAATGATCCCAACCCTAACCCTAGCTCTAATACCAACCCTAACCCAAGCACTAAACACCTGACCTCTCACGTATGTGGCAGCTCAAGGATTGGCTCAACACCGGACGTAGCGATTACAAATGTTTGTTTCGTTTGACCTTCAGTAATTCCGATCAGCGTATATGTGGGAAGTCAAAACGTCACCAGTGGGTGAATAATGTTCTCACACCAGGTCTTTGTCGGGGTGGGTCAGTAACTCTTAATTGTATAAATCACACGAGTGTTTTGGTTTTGTTTTTAAACTTTGTTACTTTTCTAAGGATTCGCCTTCTTTCTGAGTGGAAACGACTCTACCAGCTTGACAGAAGGCAACGTTACAAGCTTCACTACGGAGGATGGAGGTGTCATTCAGCAAACTGCTGACGTCTCTATCTTGTTACCTCCTAACCTCTCGAGCATGATAGAGATAAAAAACATGTCAGGTATTTGCTGCTGGATAGGTTTATAGCTTTAGAACAATAAAGCAACTTATGCATTATTTCCGCTCCATTCAATTCTGTTCTACCTTAGCCTAATGTACTATCTAGCTGATGAAAATCCTACCTTTACGCACATCTTAACGCACGTATATATTCGTTTCATCACTCACTGTGTACCTTTAAGCATATTTTCGAACGTGTGCTTAAAGATAAAAATTCATGTAGTTAATTTGTACCCTCCTGGCGGACCACACAACTTATGGATGGACTTGTTAGATTCGTCGATGAAGGTTAGACATCCAGGTTATACGATACGCCAAAAAGCAGTTAGTCAAGCAACTGGATATGATTTTTTTATGGACTTGTTAGATATTTGGCATGCGGATAAGTGTTAGGAGAAGGGAAGATTATGGTCTCCTAGGCTGGTTTTGGTTATGCAGAAGAGAATTTGGTGGTGACATCTGATGCTCTGGACAGATTATATCAAATGAGAGTTTCTTTTGCTTCCTTCTCAGAAGTCCGTCTGAGTTACACTCTCTACAACAGCAGCAAGCTGTTCGTTCAGCCTTCCCAGGGTGCCGTGGGGCCTTCCCAGGGTGCCGTGGGGCCTTCCCAGGGTTCCGTGGCAACCCGCATCATCGGCGGCAGAATCGCTGGGAGGCGTGTCAAGAATCTGCCCGAACCGGTTATCATCACGTTTGCACCCCTACAGGTAATACCGTATTCTAACTCCGGACGCCTCTTCTCATCGTGTTCCTTCTGCTTAAATGATCTTCTGCGCTGAGATACTTCTTTTGTTGGATTAACGGGGGATACCTTGTATATACACACACATATATATATATATATATATATATATATATATATATAT